CTGTTGAGGATACCAGATCCTCGGAAATTACTTGGTAAACGTCTTGTTTTTGTAATTTCATTTTGCAAATTTGAATCTCACGTTTTCGCGCCAAAAGCGCCCATTTTTACTTTCCGATCGTATTTCCCACGTAGAAAGACCCTAAATGTCATTGGTTTGTTGCCTCTTTTAATACGCTATTTTGCGACGTTTCTCAAGGACCTTTGTATTCTATCTACATACGCTTGAGTTGTATGCTTGTTTTGTTCATGCTTCTGTCTGCTTGTGGAATATACCTTTCCCTCATTTTAACCTGGTGTTTCGCCTCTAGTTAGTATGATTGGGACGAATCGGAATAGTTTAGCTTGTTTTGTCGTTTTGTCGCTAATCCTTCGTTCCGGTGATCTCGTGATCTCTTCAAGCATAGCTATTAGGTAGTAGCCAATGTTATTACAGAAACATGATTCAAGAAAGTATCATCGCGGTGATCCTTTGAAGAATGAACTAACATATTTTTTGCAAGAAAAGAAATGCTGAATAACTTGATATCTTCTTAACTTAGTTGTTATAACTTGCCTATAACAAATAGCTTTGTTTTACTTAAATTGTTCATTTACTCTCTGATGCATTGAGGTTAGACACAGGGTATTAGGGAATGATGGTAAATCAGTTGATGAGGTTATGAATCTTCATCGACTGAGATGGTTGGGCTACGTATTGCGTATGCCTGAACACCGATTACCACGACGTGCGATGCTCACCAGTGTTAGGGATAATTGGAATAAAGTTAGGGGCGGCCAAATCAAAACATGACATCAGTGCTTGAAGTCACTAACTAACGTCTAGTCTGAGCCATGTTGGTAGATGCAGAGTACCTGGTTGGGGTCCGCGTGACTATCGTAATCAATGGTTGGAGACTGTTGGTGACATGGCTGAAAATCGATCACAATGGTGTAGGTATATACACTCTCTGTCCTTATACAGTCTTTCTTTTATATATTACTACCATTTAAGTAACTACTTCTATGAATCCGGTGTTCATCTTGCTGTGTTAATGTGGTATGGCAAGTTGGACCGATGCATATATGTGCCTGGTTCTACGTTGTAGCTGAATGAATGATTGACTCTCTGATGCATTTATACTAACCAATCTGTGATCCAATTGGAGAAAAGTTACTTCTTACCATCAGTTCATTATCATCTAGTTAGTTGATCACTGGATTGATGTATTTTTTTTCTTTAATTTAATCTGTATATAGAAATGATTAATATTTTTAGTGTAAATTTTTCATGCCCAGTCTATATTTTGTACCAATAGGAATTGTCAGTCATTGATAGATTGCTCTTAACTGAATGAATAAACAAAGCATATGTATGAGTTTCATGTTTTATTATTGAAGCTAAAAATATTCTCTTTTATTCGCTTTGTGTTAACAACAGTTTCATAAGTAGATTTTGATACGTAAATGTTGTTGATTGAACCAATCTATCTGGGTTTTCTTTATTCATGTGATTAATTTGGACATATAGTTGAAGGTGTTCAGTAATTTGGTTCAGAACCGATCACAATAGCGCAGATACATTCTCCTTCTGTTTTCTCTTAGATCATGAATATTATAACTATCTTATACGTTTTATTCTGTTAGTTCATTCTTTCTATTCGAACTATAATGTCTATCCTTAATGTTTTTTTTAATAAAGCTAATAGTACTACAGCTCTTATTACTCTGGAATTTAATTTCTAATGCTTTTTTAGTGAACTGAACATGGATGGGGACAATCGAATGTATTTAATATAAAATTACAAGACTTGTTAATAAAATCTAACAACCATATAGTAAATGCTCAATTTGCAAAAAATGTCCATCAATTGTCTCAAAATGACTCAGACTTCTTTTGTTCTTGCATTTTCATACAAATTGCATTCTGTTTTCATTCTTTACTGTTCGATCTTCTTGTCTCTCTGCTGCCAGACATTTTGTTCACGTGTAACATCATTTACACTAGCATTCAATTATCTCAAGTTCTTTCCTATAATAGGGTATTCAGTATTCACTGCTGAAGAATTTCATATTAAGTAAATTTGACTGTTCGATGCTGTGTATCCGTCAGTAATCCTACATCTGATAACAGTCTTTGGAAGAATTTATCTTCATTTCATACATAGTCAGAAGAAAATGAACTGTATAAACCTGCTATGATAAATACCTCAAATTGGAACAATCTATGGTAAATTAACAAATTGAAAAGTAAAGAATAACAAAAGACATTGAAAACGATGTAAATCTAAACATAAAGAATACACTTCATAAACAAGAAATCCTATAGAGATTAAAATTCGATAATGATGTTTAATTTAATAGTTAGGCAAATGTAAAGAAAATAAAACAAAATTGAGTATGAATTATGTAACTGTGACTGGTTTTACACCATGTTAACAACCGACGTCTAAAACTATTAATTATGAGTATTGTTTACAGAATATAAGTAGACCATGAAAGAAATTCAACAAAATAAATAACACATTGACAATTCTTACGTTTATTCATCTATAAATCTTAATTAAATATTTCTGGGAAATAGTCAATAAGATTGATATAACTTTAATTCGTACAGCATATAATTACAATATACTAAAAATGATTATTATTATTATTATTATTTTAACACATAAGTATAGGTACAGGAAGGCACCAAATACATATGCGCCACACGAATCTCAATTGATTTGTGTGAGGGCTGTGATACTGCCCGGGTGCCCAAACCGAAGCAGGTGGTTTTCTTAGGGGGCCACACCCCGAGCCTTTGACCTAAAGGTCTAACCCACAAGGCAGTGGAGCATCGTGAGGAGATGCAGTCCCATGGTAGCCGGTGACCAACGATTGGTTCATACGCCATTTGTTCCTTCAGGATACTGGAGCCCATGTGCACCATTGAATTGGGATCCGGTTATAGCGCCGGACATTCGCTTTTCGTCCTCTCATTTTCGTAAACAACACCCCCGCCACGAGAAGGCAGTGAGTAGGACTTCCCTGGCAGAGGCTGTATACGCGTGGCCGTGTGAGAGTATTTCGAGAGGGGGGGCGAACCCACTCCAGACTTTCACGCGACAACCCAAACAGCACAGCCCAAGCCCATTTAACAGGGGAGCCGGACACCGTATAGGCTATAACGCTACAATCTGAATAGTACAGCTCAATCCTGTGGCGCAACCACACAGGTACCAAGCACCCTGGTGCTTCATAGCTCAAATCTTCTTGTAACATTTATTTTCTTCTCATGTTCAAGTAAAATTCCTGAAATCTACTTAATTCATCTATCAATAAAATATATGGCTCAGTAGCTAAGTGGAGAATTCGATGATGTTTGAAGCGAACAGTACTGAGTTCGAGTCCCAGAGTGAACATCAAGTCTGAAATCCAGGTACATCCAGCTGGCGAAACCCCAATAGGAAGACACGCGCTTTGTCCTGGATTCCACTGCTAGCCACGACCCATCTTTTCATACAAATTTGGCTTCACTAGATTGCCTATTTTTATTGTAATATTTTATATATTACTCATAAGTAGTGTCAGTTGTGATTTGTAAATTATGATTTGATATGATGCTAGCTCAGCTATCATTTATCATAACACATATTTTTCCATAAACCTAGATTATTCTACCCCAATCAAGTCATTCTTTCACGACATATGAGTTATTCAAAGCAGTAGTTTTAATTATATCTAGTTTATAAACAATGAAATAGCTTCAATGCTTTAAAATGCTTCATGCTAATGCTTTCACATGGCCACGCGTATATAGCCTCCACCAGGGAAGTCCTACTCACTGCCTTCTCGTGGCGGGGGTGTTGTTTACGAAATTGAAAGGATGAAAAGCGAATGTCCGGAGCTTTAACCGGGTTGGTGGATATGGAGAGCCTACCTAGGGAAGTTGGAAAACCAATTGTGCACATGGGCTCCAGTATCCTGCGGGAACAAATGGCGTATGAACCAATCGTTGGTCACTGGCTACCATGGGACTGCATCTCCTTACGATGTTCCACTGCCTTGTGGATCAGACCTTCAGGTCGAAGGTTCTGAGTGTAGCTCCCAAAGAAAACCACCTGCTTCGGTTTGGGCATCCGGGCAGTATCACAGCCCTCACACAAATCAAATGAGATTTGTGTGGCGCATATTTATTTGGTGCCTCCTTGTACCAGTATCTATGTGTTAAAATAAAAATAAAAAAATAAAAATGCCAATTAGATAGAAACCTCAGCGTAGTTATTCCTTCCGATTACCTAGAAGCACATAACATCAAATTCTCATTATAATTTGTGACCTGTTATATTTGAATTCTAATTATAACTTATTACACCTTAAAAAAAAAGCAGTAAAATTTTGTCATGAAACAGGAATTACTATCTATTTCAAGTGTTTGCCTTAATTCTTAGTAATATATATGCTAAAGTTACCATCCAAACTTATTATTTAATGACTACAATGGTAATAATGATGAGGGGTTGATCAAATTCAAAATGTTTAATGTCAGATTTAAATATCCGCTCATCTGTTTCGACAGTGTTTGTTATAATCACAGAATATTACATTATAATGTAAAATTCAGGAGTGTTTTCCAATGAATTGTTTTTTATACTTAAATAACTAATATCTATACGAAATGATGAGTTGATCAACTTTTAATGGAAATGTATGGACGGTCGCTCAATATCATCGATTGGTTGAAGTTAGACATTAACACCGTTGGATGTTCGCTCAGTTGTTTAGAGGTCAAGTATTCGCGCGCGAGACTGAAAGCCCTGGATTTGAGTCCAGCGTGCAGGACCGTGGATGTGCACTGCTAAGGAGTCCCATACCACGACGAAACGGCTTTCTAGTGCTTTCAAGTTCTCAATGGTGGCCTAACATTGATCTATTCATAACATCAATTTAAACCCAATAATCTCCGCAACCTTATACTGCTTATTCTCTATGTGTACCGTTTTTTTCATCAGCAACTTTTTCATTGTTTCATTTTAGTTGTGCAAATGAATATGAAATGGAAACGCGTGTACAAGTGGAATTTTGTCCATGCACTCAAAGTGATTACGAGTGGTAAGTAATCAATGCTTATTTACTGTTAATGCACATTTTGTTTAAGAAAAAACTGATCCAAATCTTTCATAAAGTGATTTTTCCACTTATAGTTAGTAGCTTGTAATGTTTTCACTTTATTAGGATTAATTCAATGACTTAATACTTACAGATTATTTCAAATGAGCTCACAAGACATTTACTTTTATTCAAGGAATTCAACAATTTATTTGAAGTAAATTCCCATCATGGATTACTTATAACCTCATGAAACTTTTCAACAATGTTCATTTACAACCTGCACACAGAATTAGCCTCGGTATCATCATCATCCGATCTTTCCACAACAACAATACTACCTAGCCATTCAATAATTCACTATTTTAATTAATTCTCATAATGAATTTATCTTTATTCATTGTTCACATTTAGTACATCCTCAACTGATGAAAACGTCACAGAACTTAATCTTAAACTGTGTCATAATGATACTGAATACTAAAGAATAGGTAACAAACTATAGATGAAATTGTTTTTCCATTGCTCCCTAGGTTTTCACGGTTTTTGAATGATACGAAAATTTCAAAAGGATTTTTACAAAAAAAAATTATCTAAACAATAACAATTGCCATTTCAATAGATTTGTATGCTATTCAAAGCGATAATTAATAAATTACAGTATGAACAAAAGAAATACATATCCTATTTGATATAACGGATGTTTATAATAGTTTATCACAATCTCTGACGTATGTTGCGATAACGCGTTAATACGATAATAAAACTAAGTCACATTATATCAGATCCAGGATTCACGATCCAGAATAGTGAACTAGAAAATAGACTAGATAATACATTACTCCACACAATTGCAAGTAGTCATACTCAGTGAGTTCGGATTAGAAACAAGTTTGTTTGTCCACCCACAGTGTTCAATCATATTTCACTCTCAATATTGCACATCACTATTGTTAGTCCCAATACAAAAAGATTACTTACTTACTCACTTACGCCTGTTACTCCCATAGGCTGCTGACCAGCATTCTACAACCCATTCTGTCCTGGGCCCTCCTATCCAGTTCTATCCAGTTTTTGTTTATTTTTCTCATGTTTGTCTCCATTTCTCGTCGTGTTGTGTTCTTTGGTCTTCCTCTCCTCCTTTGGCCTTGAGGATTCTATGTTGAGGGCTCGTCTTGTGATGAAGTTAGGTAGTTTCCTCAATGTGTGTCCTATTTACTTTCATCGCTTCTTTCTGATTTCTTCCTTCAATGAAATCTGGTTTGTTCTCTCCCATAGTAGGTTGTTGGTGATAGTGTCTGGCCAATGGATCCCAAGTATTTTGCTTAGACAATTGTTAATTAACACTTGTATCTAGGTCATCGAAACATTTGTTTTCTTTTTGTGATAATACTTAAATGATCTACTCTAATCTTTCCATATAAATAGTTCTAATCATACTTTGAGTCGTCTACACATTTTACTATTATTATTATTATCCAGTTAATTACAAATACTGAATAAACTATACAATCGAATGGATCAACTTATTAAAAGCTCTCTCCTTATTGTACTCACTTAATTAGTGAATAAGAATAATTATTTAATGTTGGAAACTAACTACTTAACTAATTCCTATCATCTTGATAATAAGAGTTAGTGATGTAATTAATTGAAGGAAAGTGTCAGACAAAGAAATATTCGGAGATAAATTATTTTAAACACATTATTCAAACTAACCGACTATATTTATTTATTTATTTCAACACATAAATATTATTACAAAGGGGCATCGAATACATATGCTCCACACAAGTCACTTGATTTGTGTGTGGGCTGTGATACTGTCCGGGTGCCCAGACCGAAGTAGGTGGTTTCCCTAGGAGGCCACACCAGGAGCCTTCGTCCCAAAGGTCTGATCCACTAGGCAATGGAGCAACGTCAGGAGATTCAGTCCCATGACAGCCGGTGACCAACGATTGGTTCATACGCCATTTGTTCCTTCAGGATCCTGAAACCTATGTGAACCATTGGTTTGGAATCAGAGTTTTACAACTCCCATAGGACCGTCTGTGTCTACTGAGCCGACTAAAGCGCCGGATATTCGCTTTTCGTCCTCTCAATTTTGCAAATAACACCCATGCCACGAGAAGAAAGTGAGTAGGACTTCCCTATCAGCGGCTGTATACTCGTGGCCATGTGAGAATATTTTGAGAGGGTGAGCAAACCCTAGCCAGCTTTGGCTGTACCAGGACATTAACATTCATTAAAATATTCACACGCATTAAATTTAAGAGCAGTCTAGTCTGCCTTATTCAAGAATTAAAATTTATTTACCTTATCGCCTTTGAACTATCTATGCCTTCAATTCTGACATTGTGTATAGTTTCAAGTGCAAACAACTGAAAAGTACCAGACTCTAATATATTCTTAACAAGTACCTATATTATATAATTGTCTCCTTAAAACAGTTAATTAAATCTCCTTAGTTGTATATGTTACTGAAAATATGTAACTAACAATATGTCAATCAGTTTCAATAATAATAAACTAATATAATGAATACTAAGGAAAAAATATTCGACAAAATGATTGACATATCAATTTTAATAGCTTCTAAATACTAACTATATTATGTATTTATGTATAGTATACTTAACGTGTACTATATATATATACTAATGTTATTACTACCATCCCTATGATTATCGAATATATTACGGTTATTCTTGCTAATATATGCATATTTTAGTAGTCTATTTAGTATGATGATAATGTGAACAAGTTTAGTTCATCAACACACAAATCAACATTGCATTCGCTCTGTCCACTCTCTCCCTCCCCCCAGTACATCATATCTCACTATGATGTAGTTGAAACGGATACTAATAACGACTAACTTCGATATCTAAATATCACAACTACTTTTTCTTTTCTTATCTTGGCTATTTTAAAATAGGACTAAGTGATAGAGATCAGTGTTGATCGAACTAAGCAAGCAACACACAAATAAATGTGCTTTTTCAATGGTATCAACAATAAGATATATATTTACCATACAAAAGGAGTTATGAACCCGAAGAACATAGAACCTCTGAACGTTGCGAAATTGGAATTCTACTCCTGTAGCATGTTTCGGCGTGAATTCTTCATGTCTCTTATTTTTTCTCCTTTCGAATTTATTTCACTGGATTATTACTCCTTGAATAATATCTTCGAACCCTAATCTTTCCGATTACTACTTATACTTTTACTACCTATACCACTACGGGATTTGAATCGACAATCGTATCTCTGTGCTAATGTGATATGGCAACTCGAACTGATGTGTCTACGTACGAAGTTCTACGTTGTTACTGACTGACTGACTTTGGCGTGAAAAAAAAACACACTTTTAACTAGCTTTAAATTACAACGCCATAGTGATTGCCCCAGTTGTTATCAATTATCGAATTGTTTCTTTTTAGTCTGATACTCTTCAGTACTACATAGTAACTAAGCCCCTACCCCAGTAACTACTAGCTCAGTGATATTGTGCTGAATGTTTTTATGAATTCACTCAGCACTTGTGAAATAGATTCTGACAGATGTTTTCTAGAGCAGTAAATAGAAACTTCACAATTGAACCACTCAACTTATAGGATACGAAATCACAAAAAATGTATTTACCAAAGCTATGAATGTTCCATATTATTTTAGGAAATCTTTCTATTTATTGTGGTGATGATGATGATGTGTTCCTTGAGTTCGATTATTGATTTCAATGTTACTGTTAACAACATTTTCAACGCTTAGTTCATACAGAAGTGAACTTCCCAGTTATTCTATAAGTCCTATGTCAATTCATTCTAATGACTTTGTTTGTAATTTGTTGTCTTCATTTCTTTTTTGCATTTGCTCTGACAGTCATCTCTGTAGTATAATCTCTCCTCACAAGCTGAGGAGGTATATATGGATTGATAGTGTGGTTTACTGAAAATGTTGCATTCTATCGCATTCCCTTCATTTATTCAGTAACTAGTATTATGTCAAGCCTACATAGGTTATTCTAGCTTCCGAACAGGGTAATTTATTTGTTCATCATGAGTCACATTTTGACCTTGTTAGTTATTCACTTATAACCTTGACTATTTTATTTGAGTGTATTTGTATGTAATGCTTTCCCCATTCATCATACATCTTGTTTTTGTCTGGCTATAAATAATGAGTCACTTTCTATCAGATAGAGTTGACTCGTTTGCCTTACCCATTCTGTTATGTTTTGATTTCCTATCCCTCTTTTTTTATATCTGTTTAGATAAACAAATGCTTAACTCGTGTTTGACTTCTTGTTACCACCGTTGTACAAATAGGGTTAGGTTAAATGTAGTAAACAGAGTTAAAATAGGAGATTTATGTCCATGGCATATTCCTTTCGTTCATTCAAACTGGAGTCAGATCTGTTATAACTTTTAGCCTTATCAATTATCACATGACAAAATCGCCAACCAGAACACCGACTTCTATGACCTTCTCTTATGCTAAACCAATCCCATGTCAACCAGAACTAGCACCCCTAAGTCAGCTCTGAATTCTCATTGACGATTTCCCTCCAAACCCAGACCGTTCAATCCAGAACATAAATATCAGCTTCCACTATGTGAATCGTACATTTCAGACATACGTGGTTTATACGCAAACAGACCAAGCTACATTACACCATAAAATGTAAAATAACAATTATGCAAGATTAAGCCAAAATTCATTGAGTATGGAAGACTATAACTAATAGATTGGGAATAAATCGATTATGTTAAATCGTATGACAGTATCCAATAGATCAAATGAAAGGGACGTGAATATACATATATAATCTAGTTACTTAATAATTATCTAATAAGGATATATATAACGATAATCCATAAATAAACCCTAGCAGTTAACATTATTCTTCATTTGAATGTAACAAGATCAATGAGCCACTAAAAATTCTATGCATAAAATTTAATGAATGATTTTATTTTTCACAGGAAACATTCTACATGTGTTATAACTTGTAGTCTGTGTGCCCTGTTTATTGTATAACGTAACGATACCGCCAACTAGAGAGTCGTGAATTATCGATCGAACCAATGATGCATAAACCCGTTCGAGCAGTCTAGATTCCTGATTGGTCCTGCTTTCCGCCTAGCGCAGCTAGTTAAGTCTAGAACACCGATCTCAGCCTCTGCAATATGAATCGTGTATTTCAAACATACTGGGTTTATATACAGGTCAAACAGACCACACCGTACCATAAAATAGAAAATAACATTTGTACAAGAATTAGCCAAATTTGGCTGTGAATAAGGGAGATAGTAATTGATAGACTGGGTATAATTCAAGAATTGTAAATCGTATAATAATAGTTCATATGCCAAAATAGAGCTCATAATAAGAGGAACGCGAATTTGAACAGTTTAGTTACTTAACAATTATGCGATAAAAATATAAACATAGTATTGGTCCATAAATGGATCCCAAAAGTTACCATCCATTATGCTTATCGGGCAGAACAATGATAATCAGATTATTTATTAACGGTTGAAATTTATCAATCTCTCCAGTTGACTAACTTTAATTAGGACAAAATACAAATTCTGAATTCTAGCGCTAGCTACAATCCAAATATCGGAAGGGGGTTTTGTGGAGATTGTAGTAATTTCAGTAGTTGAAATCATGAGTCAATTGAAGCTAGACCACCATGGAAAACCTGGAAGCACCGGACGACCGTTTAGTCTTATTGTGGGGCTCTTCGATAATGCGCATCCACGATCCCGCCAAGCGCCAGATTCGAACCCAGGACTTATCAGTCTTACGCACAAGCGCTTAACCACTAGACCACAATCCAAATATATTAAATTTTTAATTGCTACTGCGATATAGATATCGTTCAGTCTACAGTTTACATTCTTATTACAATAGAGAATACTATTATTAAATGAATTTTTTTAAACTAGGGCGAAACAACTTTTCAGCGTTCTCATGTTTTCAATGCCTATTTGAGCTATGACCTTTAGTCTAAAAGGAAACTTTAGAAGTTTGGTCAGTTTTGCTTTTCCGACATATATATATATATATATATATATATATATATATATATATATCTTTTGTTTTGCCTAGTGAATACGGATTTTATCGTCAACCTGGATCATTAAATTGTATTCGAAATCCGTATATTCCACCATTAGATCCTTGTACATTACCAAAAAAACAACGTCAAACTATTCATCAGTTAGGTTATCGTTTAATACCAGGTGATCGTTGTGTTGGTGGTTGGCAGCCTCCAGTATGGAATCAAACTATTTTAGATTTAATCAAATCATGTCCATATAATAATGCTGATGATGAGGATGATAATTCTGTAAGTTTTGTTTATCAGTTTCTAATTAATTATTTTTAAGAAAACAATTTTGTTTTTCATTATCAAAGCTTAGTAGTACTTATCTACTTACGCCTGTTACTCTCAATGGAGCATAGGCCACCAAAGTAGTAAAGTGAGTTAATCTACAATCAGGAAATACTCATTCATTGATATTGAATATATGTTTAACAATTGAATTTTTATCCACTGAAGTTAATTACTTTAATAAGAATTATTGTGCTAGGAAAGCTTTAAATGATTTAACCCTTTTCCTATTGTTATACTTCTGACGAATAAACAATGTTTCAGTCAAATTGGCTATTATCTAATTGGTTAATTTCTCATTTAGCTTGCCGTACATCTTAAGATTAGAGTGGTTTTCACGTAAGTAAAGTTGTTCTACTGAAATTCGGACTTCTTGGGATACAAAGTTTTTTTTTGTCTGATTTCTAACAATTCTATGAGGGTTTATTATTACTGTTATTATTATACATTTTGGGGATTTGTGGAGATTATAATATTTTCGAAGTTGAATTCATGAGTCAATCTAACCTAGACCACCATTAAAGACCTGAAAGCAGTGAATGGTCGCTTCGCCTTAGTATGAGACTCATCACCAGTGCACATCCACACTCTCGCATATGGGGTTCAAACCGAGGACCTTCGGTCTGGCGCGCGGACACTTAACTTCTAGTCCACTGTCTTAATGTCTAACTTCGATCGATCTGTGATCTTGCACAACCGTTTATCCATTGTCTGAGGTGAATAACTATCTCACATCCGATACAGATTGAACTCCATTGGTCACGGGTTGTCACTAGAATGTGACGACGGACCGCGGGTAAACTCGAGGAAGCTATAAGAGGCTCAGAAGGAGCCGAAGATATTCCAGCCAATCACCATTAGCAAGAATATTCTAGAATCCCTACGTGTAGCTTCCCGATTGGACAAGGCTAATAACCCCCTGTATGCGGATTGGAGGACTATAATGATGATTTTTGTTCTTACTAAAACTATAAATACCTGACAATTTGTACCCATAATTGACTCTGTTTGGAATAACATTCCTTTCACTAGTCTTCTGTCTTCTCTTTGCGACTTGGAAGGGTTTGGGCGTTCGTGTGTTCAGTTGTACTCGTTATATCAAGTAAATCAACCATTTCTAGATATAACAACTGGCGACGGGTTATCATATCAAGATGTCATTTACCTTTGAACAACTTGAAGCCTTATTGGAACGTCAAGAAAAACTAACTAACAAAGTATTGGTATCACATAATCGAGCACGAATTTGCCGCCGACGAAAGTATGTGAATGTAGATATAAATAAAAAGCGTGCCCGCCTGCAGCTCGATACTGCTTCCGACATCACACTTATCAGTCGAAGAACCTGGAAACTTATCGGAAAACCACAGGTGCTACCGACAACCCAGTTAGCTCATAGCGCTTCTGGAGGAAAGTTGAACATTGTTGGAGAGGTTTGTTGCACAGTCTCAAAAGGAAACGCGAAGACAAAGGCAACACTATATCTCACAGAGAACCCAGGACTAGATTTGCTGGGTCTAGACCTATTAGAAACACTACAATTAACAAATAACTCCATCAACCACATATGCAGCGCCGTAAGAACCAGTAAACCAGTTGAGAAGGATCTGAAGAACGTTGTGTTAGAAAAACATAGTCAAGTGTTTACAGAAGAATTGGGGGAGTGCAAAAAGGCAAAAGCAGTACTGATTCTTAAACCGGGAGTTACCCCAGTCTTCAGACCAAAACGTCCTGTACCTTATGCAGCGTTACCTATTGTTGAGCAAGAACTAGAGCGTCTGCAAAGTAGTGGAATAATAGAACCAGTGAACTTTTCCGATTGGGCAGCACCAATAGTGATTGTCAAAAAGCCAAATGGAAGTATCCGGTTATGCGCAGATTATTCGACTGGATTAAACGAAGCACTTGAAGTTCATCAATACCCTTTGCCGGTACCAGAAGATTTATTTGCAAAACTGAATGGGGGTAAGTATTTTGCAAAATTAGACCTGTCAGAAGCTTATCTACAGATTCCAGTAGCGGAAGAATGTAGGCATTACCTGACAATAAACACTCATAAAGGATTGTTCCGATATAACAGACTTCCTTTTGGAGTAAAAACAGCCCCTTCAATCTTCCAACAAGTCATGGATACTATGTTACAAGATATTCCTGGTACTGCGGCGTATCTCGATGACATATTGATCATGGGTACAGACTATGCTGACTTAGAGAGTAAGGTCGACACGGTGCTTAGACGCATAGCAGATTATGGGTTCAGGTTGCGTGCTGAAAAATGTGATTTTTACATGGAGCAAGTCCGTTATTTGGGATTCATAATCAATAAAAACGGGAGAAAACCTGATCCTGAAAACGTTGAAGCCATCAAGTCCATGCCCCCACCGACGGATGTATCAACTTTACGTTCTTTCTTGGGAATGGTTAGTCATTATGGCGTCTTTCTTCCAGATCTGCATCGCCTTCGTGCTCCACTTAATTGCTTGCTGAAAAAGGATACCAAATGGTTTTGGTCAACCGAATGTCAAGAAGCATTCCTAAAACTAAAGCAGCTCCTATCATCAGACCTTCTACTTACACATTATGACCCAGATCTTCCAATTATAGTCGCGGCAGATGCGTCAAATTATGGAATCGGAGCTGTAATTTCACATACCTATCCTGACGGGTCTGAGAAAGCAATCGCCCACGCAGCAAGATCGCTGACTATGACTGAAAGAAACTACAGTCAGATTGAGAAAGAAGCTCTCTCCATCATATTCGCTGTAAAAAAGTTTCACAAGATGCTCTTTGGCAGACAGTTCACCTTACTAACAGACCATAAACCGCTACTGACAGTATTCGGATCTAAAAAAGGTATCCCGGTATATACAGCAAACCGTTTACAGAGATGGGCAACTACACTACTGGGTTATGATTTCAAGATAAAGTACCAACCAACAACCGACTTCGGACAGGCAGATGCCCTCTCAAGGTTGATTGATTCGCATGCAAAACAAGAAGAGGACGTGCTTGTAGCTGCCATAGAAGTCGAGGCTGAAGTTCACAAAGTATTAACAGACGCAGTTTCCGGACTCCCGGTAACATTCGAAGCCATTAAAGAAGCTAGCAAGAAGGATAATACATTGAAGATTGTTCACCGCTGCATACTCAACAAGTGGCCTTCATCTAGACTACGTGGCGAACTCTTACAATATTTTCGTCGACGAGATTCCCTAACAGTTGTCGACTCGTGCATCATGTTTGGCCACCGTATCGTTATCCCTAGAAGCCTTCGGCACCAAGTCATTAAGCAATTTCACTGCGGGCACCCGGGGATAAGTAAAATGAAATCACTAGCTCGCAGCTATGCATACTGGCCGACAATGGACCGTGATATAGAACAAAAATGTCGCAGTTGTTGGTCCTGTCTAGAGGCTGCGAAGAATCCAACAAAAGCTGAACCACAACCATGGCCAAAACCGGACGGGCCTTGGCAAAGAATACACGCCGATTTTGCCGGACCAATACAAGGCAGAAATTACTTAGTTGTTGTCGACGCTTTTACAAAATGGCCAGAAGTATATGATATGCCGAAAATGACATCAGACAGTACAATAAGAAGATTGTCAGGATTGTTTGCTTGTTTTGGGGTTCCAGAGATTTTAGTGACCGATAACGGCACTCAGTTTATGTCATCAGCTTTCAAACGCTTTTGCAGTGAAAATGGCATATCGCATCTACAATCTCCTCCGTACCATCCTCAGTCGAATGGCCAAGCAGAAAGATTCGTGGATACGATAAAAAGAGCTCTGGTAAAGGGGAGAGGTGAGGGTATCCCAGAACAAGTGATCAGTAAGTTCCTAATGTCTTACAGAGTTACCCCCAATCCGGCAGTACCAGAAGGAAAGTCACCAGCCGAGTGTATGTTCGGAAGAAAAATTCGCACAGTCTTCAACAGTATGTTGCCACCTAGGAAGACAATAAAACCGATGAATGAGTATCGTACGATCACTCGTAGCTTCCAGGTGGGTGAAAGGGTACTTGTCAAAGCCTATCAAGGTAATAGGAGATGGGAACCAGGTGTCATAGAACGTCGAATCGGAAATGTACTGTACCTAGTCCGGAAGGGTGTCGGAAAATGCATAAGACACATAAATCAAATGCAAAGAGACAGCAGTACAATGGTCCCAGGAAGCCGGCTCCCATTTCAATTGCTCGTGGATTCACCTCAGAAAAGCCATCATGAGCGCAAACATAGAGGAGGAAAACGACGCAAGGGAAAAGTTGTACAACCCCCGAGAGTGATGGACCGTAAGAGGAATGCGACCATAAAGTTCCAGGTGGATCCGAGAAAGAAGTCTTACACAACGGACTTTAAAGGAGGGAGGTGTGACGACGGACCGCGGGTAAACTCGAGGAAGCTATAAGAGGCTCAGAAGGAGCCGAAGATATTCCAGCCAATCACCATTAGCAAGAATATTCTAGAATCCCTACGTGTAGCTTCCCGATTTGACAAGGCTAATAACCCCCTGTATGCGGATTGGAGGACTATAATGATGATTTTTGTTCTTACTAAAACTATAAATACCTGACAATTTGTACCCATAATTGACTCTGTTTGGAATAACATTCCTTTCACTAGTCTTCTGTCTTCTCTTTGCGACTTGGAAGGGTTTGGGCGTTCGTGTGTTCAGTTGTACTCGTTATATCAAGTAAATCAACCATTTCTAGATATAACATAGAACTTTAAGAAATCCATCTTAAAGTTGGTCACTAGTGAGCATATGATTATTATTGGTATAGGGATTTGTGGAGATTGTATTATTATTGTTATTATTCTGTGTTAATCTTCCAGTTTGTTTTGCTTGCGTAGATCCCACTCTAATCATAAAACATCTCTTCATTCATAATTTGAAATTACCGCAGCTAGTCGTAAAGTAAAACAATTATTAATCATCGCTTTATTCAATGCTGGTTTTGTTTAAATACAAAGTACAAAATATATACGTAACATATTAAAACAAATCCTATTCTTCGAGCCATTTAACTTTTGAATATTTAAAACAAATGATATATATATATATATATCAGCATATGTGCTGATGATGTTGTTCAGAAGAACGATGAAAGCTCCGCGACTAAACCATCCAGCTCAGAGAACAAAACTCTATCAAAATCATCCACCTCAACTACAAATCTTCTCCACTACCCCAAATCATATATTTAAAAGTTTTCCAGCTCTAAATAATTCTTATTCTTCTTGTTAATCTTAAACATTTCCAATGGATTCCGCTTATATTTATCGCTCGTTATATGTGTTTAATCCGGTTAGGTTTATTGTAAATACTTTTTCTTTAACAAGACAGATAAGGAGGAAAGTTGTTGAACTATTGTAGTGATTCCACTGATAATGAATTCTGGGATTTTTATAAAAGCACGTCATTATATTCTGATAACACTTCAAATCGAAACCCTATTCTGTATTTATAAAATACATAGAATACATCATCTGTATATCCTTTTAAATTGTTTCTTATAAGCTTTATTGTTCTTTCATTCCGATTGATACTTGCACTGCTTTTATCTTTTTTTTCTTTTATGTCATGAAGATTCCTATTTTTAATTCTTGATACATACTACTTATTTTTATCCGTATAAATAACACACTACAATGCATATAATTAGTTTACTAAAACAGAATAACTTGTTAAAATATTACTATGTCTGCTAGACGCTCAATTGACTTGATTCTCGGTAACGGGAACCGTGAATCGGATGACGCAAGTAAAAACACGAAAACGATATATAAGGATAATATATGAATGAACTACATTTCGTGGATTCGTTGAAGTTAGACATTAACACCGTTGGATGTCAACTCAATGGTCTACAAATTAAGCAATGACCGATAGGTCCTGGGTTCGAATCCCACGAGTGGGGTCGTGGATGTGCACTGCTAAGGAGTCCCATACTAGGACGAAACGGTCATCCAGTGTTTCCATGTTCTCCATGGTGGTTTAGCTTTAGTCGACTCATCAATTCAACTATTAAATTACATTGCTGATGATTTATTTACAGTCAGATTTATATACATTGAACTCCATTGTATTTAATGTCAATTATTCAATAACTTACTATGTGGACACATATTTACAGTATCATAAAATTAAACATACTTAACTCCTCCTGTCATGTCATGGTTTAACATATCTTTTTTTCTTTAATTTATTGAGTCTATAGTCATTGTATCAAATGTTTACTAAATTGAAACATGAACATAGGTCAGGAGCTTCAACAAGCCACCACACTTTAACACTCCGCTACATCCCGTACTCTCTCTTTAGAGTGTTTACACTATAGATTCACCTTTAGTGAATATATATATATATATATATATATATATATATATATATGACACAGAATTGAATTAGACAAGGATAATCAGTTCCAACAAGATAACTGGCAACTAGGACGAAAACTAAGACAGACAAGGTTTCAGGTGGATTACTTTCAACCGACTAACATCAGTAGCATTTACCATTAAAAACAAACTTTGTACCTTTAATACAAGTACATGAAGCTTGTGCTTATCTATATTAATTATTAGAATATATACGACAGAAATGTTTTAAAAATGTCCTAAAGAAACTTCATAAATAGAGAATATTCGTAGGTTACTAGTATTCGACCATAGGTGTCTTCGAAGCATTGCTCCTAAATCCTGGGGCCACCGAGTAAGTAATGAAGTTGTTATGAAACGGGTACTAGGTAAGAATGGCAAATCAATTGATGAAGTATTGAAACATCATCAGTTAAGATGGTTGGGAAACGTGTTACGTATGCCCAACCACCGACTGCCCCGACGTGCGATGTTCAATGGTGTAGGAGTAGGTTGAAAGAAAGCTAGGAGCCGCCAGACTAAAACATGGCACAAATCCATGAAGCCACTGACAAGTGGACTGAGTCATGTTGGTAGGTGTAGACTATCTGATTGGGATCCGCGAGATGATAGTAACCGATTGTTAGAGATCTTGAATGACATGACTCAAAATCTTTTGCAATGGCGCGGGTGCATCCATTCTTTGTGTTCTCCCAAATTCCAATATTCTGAATTCTTCATGTCCCTTTGTTTTTTCTCTTCCCAAATTTATTTCGCTGGATTATACTCCTGGAATAACATCTTCAAATGCTAATGTTTCCGATTACTACTTATACTTTTAGTACCTCTATTACTATGGGATTTTAATTGATAATTGTTTCTCTGTGCTAATGTGGTATGGCAACTCGAACTAATGAAAGTACACACGAAGTTCTACGTTGTTGCTGATTGACTGACTGACTGACTGACTGACATAAGTAACCCATTGTACTTTAATATTTATCTTCTATAATAATATGTTTTATTTTATGATTCCTTTTTTTACTTTCAATTCAGTCTATTACACATAATTCATCTGCAACAATTATTTCTATTATTCTACTTATATTTGGTGTAATAATACTACTTATTTTATGGATTAAATCAAATAATCATAGAATGATAAACAATACATCAAATTATCATTTTGATAGTAGATATTTTAAAGTAAATACAAGTAATGCATTAAATCGTTTACATAATTGGTTTATACCATGGAAAAGAAATAATTTCACTGGATTTATGAACAATAATAATAATAATAATAATAATACTATCGATGCTTGGAATAGTACTGATAGAATATCTTCAACATATAATGATAGTCGAACTATTTTATGGCCACCTACATCTACCATTACTCCATCAATGCATAAACAAACTATTAATTCAAATCTATTCAAAATCAATTGTATACAACCAAAAATATTCAATAAACAAATAAAAACTACTCAAATGAGTAGTAGTAACAATAATAATAATAATAATGATATTCATCATTTATCAGATCCCAATAATAATAATAATAATAATACAATAATTATACCAAAAAAATCTATTTCAATTCCAACATTTAAAAAAGGAAGCGGCGGTGTTCTACAACAATATTTTCATCGTAATGATACAGATATGACAAATTTATTAGAAGCAGAAGAAATTCCATCTACATCTTCACTATTATCATTATCATCAATGAATATAATTACTAATAATAGTAGTAATACTTGTAATACAAAACAATCATTCGGTGATCCATTAACTTCATTTGCATATAAAAACTCTTTAATAAGTAAGTTTCATTTTTTTTTATCATTTTAGTAGTATTATTTGTTGTTGTTGTTGTTGTTGTTGTAATACTACTTAAATGTTCTACTATTTCAATTGTTCAGGTGATGGATCAACTGAAGCTAGACCACCATGGAAAACTTAGAAGCACTGGACGACCGTTTCGTTCTATTGTGGGACTTCTCAGTAGTGTGTATCCACGATCCCTCCTCGCGGGATTCGAACCCAGGACCTATTTGTCGGCTTAGAAAATTTTTAATGTGTGCTTTTTTTGGTGAAATTACATTTGAAACTACTAAAATTATTCACTTGGTATTGTTTACTTAAATCTTCCCATTGATGTTTAGCACTGCAATCTGATTAGCTGATGAGTCTCAAATAGGATGAAACGCGAGTCCTGGATTCCATTGCTAGCGATTATCCATCTTTACCACCGTTATTGTTTTATTGATTGAAAGCTTTAGGATCTTCAAATGAGTAATTAGAATTCGGAAACCTACTTTTTCGGATTTACTTAGTATACAAAATATCAATGACAGTCATCTTGTCTACGGAGACTAGTTTTTTTTTCAATATCGAACTGTTGGATTACTACACTGCTAAGTTACTGGGAATCAAAATTGATTGGCCGCTAAATAGTGACATGTACAATGTTCATCTAGTCCTTTAGATGCTGCTCGAATTCTATCAATCAAGTAATAATTTAGCCACTAGTTTAAAGCAGTCAGTCGCTCAGTGGTAATGTCTTATATTATGAAACTGGTTAACACGAGTTCGAACCCTAAAGGAAGCTCTGATTCCCTGAAGATAACGTGCACTCTTTGCCGACAAGTAATAACTAACATGGAACCTTGTTGAAGTGGAGTTTCTCTTCAGCTAACTCCAAACATCACAATACTAGAAATCAAACTAGGTTATTTAATACAATGAAAATTAATCTGAATTTACATGAAAACCACCTTTAATCGAGAATTGACATTGTACTTAATTTCTCTTGAAATTATATTGGACATTCAATGTCCCCAACAGTGGCCCAAAGGTTTTTGTATGATCTTCAGTGCTAATCGTTATCACTTACTAAATTTTCTAATCACAATCCAGATTATAATTTTCCTATCCCACATTTGTTGTTACAGTTTATATTCTAGCGTCCTTTACCTTTAATAGTTACACTTCCTGACCGATACAATTGACATTGAGATAATTTAAGCTTTGCTTCTATTACTTCGCCTATTCACACACACTTTTCCCAATTCTCAACCTTGAGTCCGTAAAAGGGAATTTTCGATCCAATCTTTTGCTGTTATTTCAAGCACATGTGAGTGACCAAACAAAATATTGATAAGTGGATACAACATGACTACTATGTTGACTATCATGACAGCTGAGTATCATTTGTACGAAATACTTACTTACTTACTTACTTACTTACTTACTTACTTACTTACTTACTTACTTACTTACTTACTTACTTACTTACTTACTTACTTACTTACTTACTTACTTACTTACCTACTTTCTTCTTTCCTTACTTTACTTACTAACTTACTTACTTACTTACTTACTTACTTACTTACTTACTTACTTACTTACTTCCTTTACTTACTTACTTACTTACTTACTTACTTACTTACTTACTTACTTACTTACTTACTTACTTACTTACTTACTTACTTACTTACTTACTTACTTACTTACTTACTTACTTACTTACTTACTTACCTACATACTTACTTACTTACTTACTTACTTACTTACTTACTTACTTACTTACTTACTTACTTACTTACTTACTTACTTACTTACTTACTTACTTACTTACTTACTTACTTACTTACTTACTTACTTACTTACTTACTTACTTACTTACTTACTTACTTACTTACTTACTTACTTACTTACTTACTTACTTACTTACTTACTTACTTACTTACTTACTTACTTACTTACTTACTTACTTACTTACTTACTTACTTACTTACTTACTTACTTACTTACATACTTACTTACTTACTTACTTACTTACTTACTTACTTACTTACTTACTTACTTACTTACTTACTTACTTACTTACTTACTTACTTACTTACTTACTTACTTACTTACTTACTTACTTACTTACTTACTTACTTACTTACGCCTGTTACTACTAATGGAGAACAGGCCGCCGACCACCATTCTCCAACCAACTCTGTCCTGGACCTTCCTTTCCAGTTCTATCCAATTTTTGTTCATTTTTCTCATGTCTGTCTCCATTTCTCGACGGAATGTGTCCTTTGGTCTTCCTCTTCTCCTTTGACCTTGAGGATTTTATGTGAGGGCTTGTCTTGTGATGCAGTTCGGTGCTTTCCTCAATGTGTACGAAATAATCTGATTATATTCTCTTTAGGTACTGGTCCTATGTATACATCAAAACTTTTACAGTTCACTCACATATAACATGTAGTTTCAATTCTATGACAATTTAGAATAAGTTATCTTGACTTTATATACTCAAATATCAACCGACTTTTATGCAAAATGACTTCAAAAATCTAATAAAAACTAATCTATTAGATAGATCAACACTTTTGTTTACTCTGTATAGAGTAAACAATCTTCATAAAGAACTCAAGTCGGCGATTGAACTATTGTGTTCTATTACTTAACAGTTTCATAAAACCATACATCTCACTACAATTTATTTTCGTTTTCCATTTTATAATACTTTATTTCCTTTTTTTATGTAGAATTATCCAATGGATCAACAAGGGTATACAACGAGAATAATGAATGTAATACGTTGGTTACTAATACTACTAGGAATAATAATAATAATAATAATAATAATAATAATAATAATAATCCTAGTGAGTTACATCAAACTATGCTACAACAAAGTACACCATTCACAAATCATCATAAAGACATTTTAGATCAATAAATGATGAAATAATCCTTTACTTCACTTTAAACTCTTCCATTACACATAACTTCCAGTATCAAGTAAAGGAAAGAAAAAATGATGAAAGCAAACAACACTGACAACAATAACAGTACTAATAAATCAGAAGACAAAATTCAGTCTTCTTCCTTTTTCTAACTCTTTATGTTATTGTTATTATTGTTGTTGTTGTTGCTGTTTGCTCTTTCCTTTTTGTTTTCTATTCAATGTTCATTTGTTCTTTTGGTTTTCATTTGTTTTATTTTCTTTATTTCGATGTTATTACTACTAATGATGATTAATCTCATATTGAATAATTTTCTTACTTATGGAGATTATAGTAATTTCAACAGTTGAGATCATGAGTCAATTGAAGTTAGATCATCATGGAAAACCTGGAAGCACTGGACGGCCGTTTCGTCCTAGTATGGGACTCCTCATCAGTACGCATCCACGACCCCGCCCCCCCAAGGGATTCGAACCCAGGACCTATCAGTCTCGCGCCGGGCGCTTGACCAACTAGACCACTGGGCTGGCTGGCATCCAATGGTGTTAATGTCTAACTTCAACTAATCCACGAAATTGAGCGACACATGCACCATTGTCATCAGTGAGTTACTAGCTCACCACTGACCCGGTTGGACTCCATTGGTCACTGCTTCTCACTAGAACTCCAGGATATACCTCTTGAAGCCAGTCATTCGAAATGATGGCACTGTTACAAAAACTGATGGAACCTATAAAAATGGATTTAATAACTTTCACTGATCAATAATTCAACGGTACATGAGATGAAAAGTTTATTCTTAACTAGAAAGCTCTTTTGTCTTGAAGTATGGCATTTATACTAGTTGAAATTACTGCATAAGTGATATAATGGATTGTTCGAAATATTTTTCTCACTTTCGCATATACTTTGATAATACGTTATTACGATAATATGACTAGTCACGTTATATGAGACCCGAGATTCACAACTTAGAATAGAGAACCATAGTATATACTAGATAGTATTTTATTCAACACAATTACAAGCAGTCACCCTCACTGTGTCCGAAGTCAAAATCAATGAAGGGAAATGGAATCACATATTTAGTATTCCGTATCTCATATCAATAAGTCGTGTCAGCATCAATTTGAAAAAGACAAACACATAGAACTTATGGAATGTTGTTAAAACTGTGGTGCAGGAAGTGCGTTTTGTCTCATTTAAGAATCGTCAGATGAACTTACCTGCATCCTAAAGTTCTAATCCAGTGCCTTTCGTTCCGAAAGCCTTGCGCACTATCTACATAGTCAACCAAAACTGGTCAAATTCAGTCAAATATAATTAACAGGATGATCCAAAATGTTAAAAATCAAATTGAGATTCATGAAAGGCCAACAACTCTTCATTTGTTTTTGGACTGAGAGCTTCATTTGAAGAATCTCCTGTTTGTTCGTCCTCTGGTACTGCTATAATCTCGTGTACATTTAACAAACCATTACCTTGCTGTGAGTCAGACAATTTACCAACCACTTGCTCCATGAGATCTGAATTTAAGTGGCAAAAGATCCCTTTTGGTTACGTAGGTGTTTGCTTCGCATTACATTCCTTCTGGGAGTTGATGGGTGAAAACGATTTAGACGACAGTTGAAGTGACCAGTGGGTAGCACCTGAGAATCCCCTCAGTACCTACGGAGTTATAGTGATTATCGGCCCTTCCTTTAAAAGACTCATCACAGAGGGCTGTTGTAGAGTCATTGATTCCTAACCGCATGACTTGTTACGATTTATGGCCGCTGACTAACATCACACGACAAAGATCCCAATCGAAACCTGTTCATATCTAATAACCTTGAGCCCTTACTAGTTCACGGTTTTCTAGCTCCTGTCTGCCCTGCTCTTGAATATCGAAATCAGCAACCAGCATTCACCATACACTTATCATGTCTCAGGCATACGCAACTTATATACGGACATGCCGAACCATATTACACTGTAAGATGAAAAGAATTATAAATCAATAAGCCAAGAAGGGTTGTAAGTAGGAGAGACTATGAATAATAAACTAGCAAGAGGCTAAGAATAGTTAATAATATAACAGTAGTTAATGAATTAATCGAAATCTAGTAGTAGAAGGGATACACATACGATATACATAATAATATAATAATGCACGTAACATACATAATATTACATTGGATATTCAATAGCACTACGAGTACAATACTAATACACTTCTGATATGGCAGGCACAATAATTTGCATGGGATTAGATATAAGATGTTAACCAGGAGGAATTCTTATTAGATGAAATCAGTGAAAGTATATGATAGAATATTCATTTAGATATATCAACACGTTAATAAAAAATTTCGCGCGTTTACTGTTGCTGTAGCTCTTCAAGAGTTACTATCGATCCCACACCCGGGTAAACGACGAGGGTTGGACATAAGGTCGACAACCCCATCCCGTAGAAAAGACCTTGATAAAAAGTGCCAACCGGGTTAAACAAATTAAACCACTTGAACTTTGCCTTGGGATTTAAAGGAAGAACTATGACGCCGCAGGATGGAAGACGAGATTTTTCGGAAGTTACAAGGCCGATGCTTCTTCCAACAACCAATGAAACAATTTTTATATGTACACGAACATCCGGACAATTAGGGAGACCGGAAAGACCAGTCAAATAGTAACGGAAATGAGGAGATACAAATTGGCAGTACTGGGAATCAGCGTGAGCTATTGGACCCAAGCTGGACAACAAAGCTAGATAAGGGAGAAATGCTGCTATGCTCCGGTCACAAAGAGAAAAATGCTCCACACACTCAGGGAGTTGCTCTAATGCTGTCCAAAGTAGCACGAAACGCACTTGTAGGATGGGACTCTCACGGATCCAGAATCATCAAAGCATCATTCAAAACAATGAAAAAGGGAATTACAATAAGTGTTATCCAGTGTCATGCACCCACCAATGATAGCAATGACGACGACAAAGATTAGTTCTAAGGTAGGCTGCAATCAATCACATCGAAGTGCCCAAGAAGAAACTTCACCATTCTGATGGGAGATCTAAACTCCAAAGTCGAAATAGACAACGACGTCTATGAAGATATCATGGAACGACATGGACTGCGAGAGCAACGAAAGTGGGTAGAGGTTTACAAATCTACGTACATTCGACAAAATGTTTGTAGACGGCACAATATTCCTACACAAACTCATATACAGAGCTAGATGGACCTCCCACACCACACCACAAAGAACCAGATAGATCATATTTTCATCAATAAAAAATTCCGATGGACAATGGAAGATGTGAGAACCAGGAGGGGAGCGGAAATAGCTTTATATCACCACCTGGTGAAAGTGAAGCTAAAGAAACTTTTGTGAGAACCTTTATTTTATCGTCATTTAGATCGAACGATGTTTGTGGAAGTGCTTTGCACTTTAGTGGCCCGTGATCTCACTCCAAGTAGATCGCATGGATATTTGTTATCGCCTATATTCGTATATAATCATCGACTTAAATCGCGTTAGTCAATAACGGAATTAAATAAGTCAAATAACGAGAATGGACTTCTGGATACATATATTTTGTATATGAAGAGAATGGAGGAGCGAAACGATGCGTGGTGGAGATGGCGGATAAGCGAACTCCGTTTTTGTCAAACGCTAATCAATATGTATAGTTACACAAATATAAGTTACAGATATGTGATGAGTAATGGGATAAGAAGTATACACACACCTACGCGCTCATATAAAAAAGTTAAGATTGATAAGCGAATAATTAACAAGGTCAAAATGTGACTCAAGTAGAATGAATAGAATGGGCTGTCCGAAAGCTAGAACAAGGTATATGGATTTAACATCATAACTGACACTACAAAACATTGGACAACTGGGGGAACATCATTACAAAGGTTCAGTACAACTTTTTGACATACTGACGAACTCAACAAATTCAAGATAGTTGTAAGCCCTACATCACATACTGAAGGAAGAAGGAACAACTATGGAGGGAAACTAGAAAGGGATCAAAGAAGCATTAAATTCAACGTTTCAGGATGTTTTGGGCCGCAAGAAGCATCACCATAAAGAATGGATCTCTGTAAAGACCACGGACATGATTCAGGAAAAGAAGAAGAACAAGAGGAAAGCAATTAACAACATCCGAACAAGAACGAAGAAAGTTAACGCAAAGCTCGAATACACAGGGGCAAACAAGCAAGTGAAGAAGAGCATTAAAGCTGACAAGCAGAAATACGTGGAAGAATGAGCAATGACGGCGGAAAAAGCTGCAAGAGAAGGAAATATGAAATAACTTTATGATATAACTGACAAACTAGCCCGGGGGATATAGTAAGCGAGAGAGACCAGTCAGGGACAAAGAAGGAAAGACAGTCACTGAGACTCGAGCACAGAGGAACATGTGGGTAGAATACGTCGAGGAACTCTTGAATAGACCAACTCTATTGGATTCACCGGATATCGAAAAATCACGCTTTAACCTCTCCATAGATGTCACTCCGCCAATGACTGAAGAAATCAGGATGATCATCGGACAAATTAAAAGTGGGAAAGCGGTAGAATCTGACAATATAGCAGCTGAAGCACTGAGGCCAAACACGCTACACATTCTATTCAGAAAGAAATAAGATAAAGAACAAGTGCCGACAGGCTGAAAATAAGGAAACCTCATCAAGATGCCAAATAAAAGAGATCTGAGCAATTGTGAGCACTACAGGGGCATCACACTACTGTCAGTACTACGAAACGTTTTCAACAATGTGGCTGAACCGGCTGAAACCTTCAGTAGACGACCAGCTACCAGATGAGCAGGCTGGATGCCATGATGATCGGTATTGCACAGACCAAATTGCGACAATACGGATCATTGTCGAACATTCAGTAAAGTGGAACTCGTCACTATGCATCAATTTCGTTGATTATGGGAAGGCGTTTGTCAGTGTGGATAGGAGAATATTTCAAAAACATCTTTAACGCTGTGGAGTTCCTGAGATGATTGTCAACACTATCCTGAACTCGTACGACGGACTACAGTGCAAAGTTGTGCATGGAGGACAGCTGAGAGATGCATTTCAAGTAAGAACTGGATTCAGACAAGGCTGTCGCTATATACCATGGTAAGGCCGATCATGTGTCCTATCAATGAGCTCAAACGGTTTGGCATCAAGTCTCCAAACTGACCGGCCCACTTCGTATCCAAAGAAACGACTTTCTAAAGTTGTGGTGAGCTTCAGTTTTCCTCAGGCTGCGGAATGTCTCAATGGAATCCCTCACGGCTCAGCACTAAGACATCTTCATTTCCTAATTTGTACAAATGACCTTCAACAAGTATAGCCTGATTTATCACTTTTCGCTGATTATGTGAAACTTTTGAGAGACGGTTGAGACTAAGATGTTACGCAGGCACTTCAGGATGATCTGACTCGACTTCGAAGTTAGGAGGATAACAACGGACTCACCTTTGACACTTCAAAGTGTATTCATCGTGAAAATTCAGACTGTTGTTATTAAAATACTCGTAACTACATTGCTTTTAGCGACAAACGTTTTTAGAAAGTAGTAAACCTGATGAGCACTTTTTACTTTGCTTAGAACAAGCATATAACTCTTGGTGTTTAAGTCTACAGTTTCAGTCAAGGTTTTAAAACTGAAGGTCGGGTGGTGCTCGTTAGGGCCGTAATGGAAAATATCAGCGATGATGAATTGCGATCAGCTTTATCTAGATATTTAGATGTCGTTCCACCAGTGACAGGTGAGTCCTTTGCTTTTATGAGTGTAAAAATTAGAATCAACTCGAGCAACTTTGATTGCTAAGCTGAAAAAGTGCATATCAAATGGTTCTGAGAGTTTAATAAAGGATACTCCACAAAACGTCGTAGATAATCCTATCACCATAACGGAAGATAGGTAACTGAGTGTGTAAGCTTACTTACTTTTGTAGACCAATACAGACTATAATTTCCGATAATAGTCGTGAATCACCGAAATATGAGACGACTGAGGTACTAGAAAGGTGAGTGCTTTTCATTGTTTTGCTGGATAAATATTCATATTTTTAAAGTATCTGTTCACAACTAAGCTATATTCAAGCGTTTAATCAAGTGGTCAGACATTCTTTAGAAAAATGATAGTGTCCAAAGTCAGGTGAATTCCAGATGTTTATCTTTGTCAAGGTGACTTCCCTTGGTTTCAGTACTTACCAGTTAACTAATATCCAGTAAAATGACCTTCAAATCTGAATGCACCACTATGTAGGCCCTCTCAGTTATTGTTTGAAGTTGACTAATTACTTGAAAAAGGTTCAGAGAGAAGGGTATGTTCGGAATGCCCGTAGTATTATCTCGTCAAGATCATGTATCAATGAAATGACCAAGTAAGCTCGCCCCAAGTATACTCAAGTCTAATTGTTCGGACGGGACTCTTTTTGTCCAGCCAGTTGTCTGATAAAATGGCCTCCTTCGTGTGGCACCTAATTTGGTATCAGGAAATGCCCCCATAAGGAAGGTTTTATAGCGTCATGTTGAGCGTAAGATCACCAAAATGTCTCAATACTAGTCAGTCGGCAAGTAAATCCGTTCTCCTGCCGGTTAACCATATTTATGTTGAAACTAACGATACCCCCAAACTTCCTGTATGAAGATAGATGTAGTTTTAAGTGTGGTTTGCCGATGAAAAGACGGTCAATTCCTTGGTGATCTGAGGTCTTACTCGTTAAATATTTCATAACATGTCAGTTATGAGTCACTTAAGTACCGTTATTCCTCATAATCAATGTGGCTCAGTTTAACACATGGTTTATCACTTAACTCATCCTACTTCAATTGGTAGTAAATTCAAACCCTAGTTTATCTGCTTCAAGTTTGGCGAGCGTGTAACATCATAAGTCTTTAATAAAACATTATGGCTCGAATTCGAGTAGATAAACCTTCCGATGTATAAGTTGAATTCAGCATATAGTTACCGGACGTTAAGTTTAAATGCATTTCCTCCTGAAATTGCATATTTCACTGAATTTTATCAACTGGTAATATTCATTTCACTGCTGGTTTAGTACTTTCCTTCAGACTTAAAGAAATGTAGTGTTTTACGTTCGAATGATGCCGATAAAAATGGCTTGGTGGATAAGATTTCCACTATAATACTGCTTTTGAACACCCCACTTGTATTGACCCAGTCTATTGCTCCCTATTTAAAAACAAATACTGATTGCGATCTCTTCCTTTTATCATCATCAATCTCGTCCACCGCTCCTTGTTAAGAATAGAATAAACAAACTGCGGCTTTAAAATTTAGACTATTGAAAAATCAGGTCCAAATTCGTAGTTTATTTTCCAATCTAATGATTCGAAGCTTTATATCCAAATTTCCGGATATTTCATTGATTACATTAACAAGCAAAAGGCATCAAAGACTGTGTCCGCGCATTTCTGTCATACTTTAACACCATAAGACTTTATGTTTAGCCAGGTATTCACAATTGATGGTGTTTTAAAGTTTGTTTTCGACGATAACTTTCGTTTGCCTATCTAATGTTGTTTGGCTACTGAGCTCTTAGTTTGAAAGTTGTCTGGGTATCGCTTAAACAGAGGATCAGCTAGAACATTCTTGCAATCATATATCATTATCCTGCTTTATAATGATCAGTCAGCTACAACGTAGGACCAGGCACATATATGCATCGGTCCAAGTTACCATACCTCATTAGCACAAGATGAACATCGAATTCGGTGGTAGTAAAAAAAGATTTCATGTAAGGAAATGATACAGGGAGAGAAAATTAGTTCGTAGAAACAAAGGTATAAAGTAATTTTAATCTCACGGTTTAACGGAAGACAAAGAGTGTATACACCTACGCCATTGTGATCGATCATGAGCCATGTCACCCAAAGTCTCCAATGATTGGTTGCGATAGTTGCGCGGACCCCAACCAACACGGCTCAGACCAGACGTTAGTGATGCCACGTTTTGATCTGGCCACCCCTAACTTCGATCCGTCTCCAACACTAGTTAGCATTGCGCGTCGTGGTAATCAGTGTTCAGGCATACGTAACACGTGGCCCAACCATCTTAGTCGAGGAAGATTCACAACCTCATCAACTGATTTACCATTATTCCCTAATACCCTGCGTCTAATCTCACTATTACCCGGTGATCCCAGGAGAGACCAGCAGTATTTTTGAGACATCTGTGATCTAATGCCTGTAACTTACGAGTATCTCCTACTCTTTATGTCTACGTCTCGCAGCCGTGAAGTAGAACAGAACGAACTGCTACGCAATATACGCGTCCCTTAATTGATAGACGGATATCTCACCTTCGCCATAGGTGACGTAAGTTGGAAAAAGCCAAACGAACTTTTCGGATTCGTGCTGAGATTTCGTCAGACAACAACCCATTAGGGCTAATCAGACTTCCAAGATAATTGAAGGTGTTGACGTAGGTTGGTCGTGAAGCACCAACTTGCATTTAGAGGGACTAAAACTAATCCAAAACATTCTGGCATTGTTTCTCAATGCTACCAAGAGACTGTATTTTATCAGCGTCTTCACTGAACAGGACTAAGTCATCTGCGTATTCTAAGTCGATAAGTGGACCTCCTGGAAGGAGATCAGTGCTCGAAAATTCAGTCGACGAGGACGTTATTTCCAGCAGTAGGTCTATGATGAGTTTGAACAAAAGTGAAGACATTGGACAGCCTTGTCGGACACCACTCGAGGTTGCAAAAGCAGATGAAAGTTCTCCATAAGCTCTCACTCTATTAGTATTGTTTGAGTAAAGAGCCTTCACAAGGTTTATGTACTTCTGCACTGCCAAAGAACCTCTCGGTCAACAGAGTCAAATACCGCTTTTAAGCGAAGAAAATCCACCATTGTCGGACGCCGATAGGCATGCCTGTGCTCTAGAGCCTGACGAATAGTGAATATGTGGTCCATGCAGCCACGACCAGGTCTGAAGCCAGCTTGATTCTCTCGTGCTTTTAGTTCACGAGTCTTAGTTAGGCGTCCGATAATTATTGAGGCTAGTATTTTAGATGCTATGTCAGTCAAACTAATCCCTCTATAATTATCACAGGATGATTTTGTCCCCTTATATATTGGGACGATCAGTGATTGTGACCAGTCAGATGGGATTACGATCAACTCTCAGATTCTAGCTAAAATATTAGTCAACGTTATCGCTTAAACTGGACCACCATCGTCAAAGACCTCTGGAGCCAATCCATATGGACCAGCTTCTCTTTCTTTTTCAGATTAGCTATAACCTTTTGAACTTTAGTTGGTGTCGGAGGACTTACTTCAATGTTCCATTCAGGCTGTCGGGGAGTGGTGGGTAGTTGTAGAGTATTTCCCCGCTCTCCGTTTTGGCGAGGTGAGGTCAAGTGAATGACCACACTAGGATCCTGTATGTGTGTTTCGGAGAGACAGCATACATCAATGGTACGAGATTTTAGGGTCTTAGCCGAGGAGGCCTGCTGGCGAATTTGAGACAGGGTGTGTACGTTGAAGGCTGCAATATGTAGTTTGGAGCAAAATTTCAGTAGATGTGGGACAGTATTCCGCGCACTAGAATCGTTGGCCATGGTGACACGAGGAAGAAGTCAAAAGAGGAAGTTTAGAGTTGATAGTCGAGGTAAGAGGAATAATAGAAATTGAAAAGGGAAATGAATAATGAATACAGGGATCTTGGGTGCTGTTATTATTATTATTATTGTTATTATTGGCTTTATTCAATATCATATTTTTGGTACAATATAGAATTCTCAGCACAAAGCTTTTCAACAAGTTTCCCTTTCTTATTTCTTGATCAGTTCTTGCGATAAATGTTGAGTGGATGCCAGTTAGATGTTAGCAGTTCAGGAATCGACATCTGATAAATGTATATTCTTTCCAATGCATATTGCTAGTAACCATGATGTCTCTGATTGAGCTCTTTTGTAACTTGTACAGCGAAATGTCGTAAACATTTCACAAACGCACCTGAATAGGTTGTGAGACTAATAGGCATAATGATGTGTTAAAATAAACAAGAAAACAGATAACTTGTTGAAATATCCAGATGGCAGGAACAAGTAGCCCAGATATTCAAGCAGGCCGCCTGCATAGAGGTATGAGGGCAGTTATTTCCCGGTTGCCCACACCTTGGAAGGGTCCTTCTGGAGGTATCTTAAAAGGGGAATTAAGTTAAATGTGGTCTTAGTAACCCGAGAGCGTGAGCGCACTGCCCAAGGGACAATTGCTTCAGGTCGGTCACACATGACGTTTTCGTGAGTGATTTTCGTGTTAGCTCCGTACTTGTTGAGACCTTACCGCCGGAGACGCATATCCGTGGGGTAAGGCGAAGTGTGCATTTTTAGGGTCGATCTTTCCTAACCTCACCCTTGTGGGATGGCAGCACTGCTGTTATGCTGGTTGTCTGAAGGAGGCATCTTACGGCCATCACACTTCTGTACAGTCAGTACGACCTCGACTTCAAACCTTGAGTTTGCTGCTTTTAGTCTTTCTGTACTTCAACCAACCTGTCTGTCATGGTAGGACCTTGAGGAACAATTGTTCCAGCCAGTATAGCTTGAATGCTTCATTACGATAGGCAAGCCAGACCAGCACGTCGAGGTAGCAGAAACCAAGTAAGACTTACATTAGTTCAGCTTTGAGAATAAATGAGACTCATCACCTACAAATGGCCATACTGACGTACATTTGGCAACTATAGAACCGAATGGGAAGGCAGTCGCGTTCATATTTCGACGCACCACTGTGAAATAGACAATAGCTGTATCCAGTTACTGTCTGACAGTATATCATGACTATCAGTAGCTTGAAATGCTACCACAAATTATTCACACTAAAAGCTAGTGATGCTCCTGCGCTATTTTTCTACTATTGCATTCTTCTTAAGCATTAAGATATACCACTAATATGTAATAAATCTATCCTGGTTGTATTCTCGTCTAAACTATACCAGTTGCTATTCTATCCTTTGTGGTTATTGTAACTTCCTCGTTTCCATTTCTTTTTCTATGGCACTTCCCTTAGCACCTTGTTTCAAGCCTTTTCTATTAAAATGATTAAATATAGGGATTGCTTTGGGGAATGTACGTTGGAGGTAAATCTAACTTATTAAGTACTGGTTCTGTGCACTCAGCTTCGAGGGGTAGTGATACTGCCTGGCTGTCCAAATCGAATTTCGTACCTGTTAGTCGTCCAAGTACTAATCTACTGTTCTGAATGAAAGTCAGTGACAAAGGTTATAGGTACTTGATAATTATTAGCAAGAAGTCCTCATTTTCTGTACGTGCAGTTTCCTCATGAAGTCTGAGTGTCCATATCATTCATATTGTTTTTATCTCTATCAAATGTCTACTTTAGACCTTTATCTACTAAAGAGCTATCTGCAAGTTTTATGAATGGATTACCAATACAAAACCACTCATCTCCCATACTAGAATGCGTTTCTCGACTCCCAAGTTATCGTCGTCGATCTATACATCCAGACCGACCAGGAATAGATGACCCCTACGCTGATGATTTGGCTTGGTTTCCATCATTATCATCAACAAAATGTCGTGAACAGACCAACAAACAAAAGACGTTTCAAAACACGAAAGGAATCCTCAGGGAAAATCTTATGAAGTCTTTTTTGTATGTCAGCATTGGTTTAATGTCTGTCATTCTCGATAGTTGCTTTTCCTCCCTCTCTAAGTTAACGAGTAAGTTGATTGTCTTTTATGTTTAGTTTTTGCACGTATTTGTGGTCAACTAAGATTAGACAGAATCAACCTTACCTCCAGGTTTATTTTTTGTTATGGTAAAAAAATTATGTTCTTCTAACTTAACTGAGAAAATTTGGGCACTAGTGTGATACTGTCTCAATTTAGGTGGAAAAACTTTGAAACGTCAGTCGGGCAAGACTTACAAGATAAGTAAAAGTCAGAGTCAGGTTTAGACCACAAATAGACGTGTAACAAAAATTGTGAAGGTTCAGAAATGTTAGCGACTAAATCTTTGTCGCTTACCGTTCTCGATCAGTGGTTTTCATTCTTTAGTGAGTTTCAACTACGAAGTCTACATTTATTATTGTACCTCAAAGGAATGGTAGGCGACATTATGGAATAATCCGATTTCACGGTGTGCTTAATTCAAATATTTCCATATCTTAATTATTTCCTAACGTTCGACATTACAGGTGTGTGATCATATTAAACATCAATCACCTGGGTCAGTTGGGGTAAGTTCTCTACTCATCGGCTTAATTTGGCAGTTTGTCTCACTTATTCAAACAACACTTCACCATAGGCAAGTGCGCTTGGCACGTCAATGTGACAGTTACGGTCAGGTTTTATTTTGTTAATTACTACGACTGAGATTTCTTCGTTTTAAATTCTGTATCTTAACCATTTACCAATATAAGATAATACTGAATTTTAGTGTTGATCCGGTTGACATGATACTTCAACGGTTTTTACCAACTGACAGTCGTACTCGATTTGAAAATAAGCAGTGTAGAATCAGTAGCTTACGCAGGATCATCACCTAATGAGGTTCTCTATTGGTTTTGGAATGTAGAATCTTGTACGGCGATAATTCGAAAATAGTACAGCTGAGGCAAACCAACTTCTTCAAATTATTAAGAAAATTTGCACGATCTGGGTTTCCAAGTTGTCGCGTTAAGCTAGCTGCCAATGAATCCATGCATCGGCTTGGTTTATATAGTTAATTGAGCCTCAAAGCAAAGTAAACCGTAGGTCTTCCTGTTCTACGGTTTTTGAATAAACACAAGAAACGCTGTGTTCCTCTTGAATATCCTTATAACAAGGATAAATTCCCACAATAAGTTGTACACTAAAACTGGGTTTGTATGTTTGACTGAGTGTACACCAAGTATCTCACTCTAAGACATTTAAACGTCATGCTTGTTCAGAGTAAAGAAGACAAGGAATCGGTAACTACTTGTAGTATGTGCCCACGAATAATGTTTACCAATATAATGACTTGTAGACGTTTACGTTATAGGTAAATTATCAATTCACAAATAAGATTTATAATTTATTTGCGATTATTCAATTGAATTGATGTATGACTAACCACTTTTTTCAAATTTATTTTTTCTAGATGTCGTATCCACTTGTATACCATCCTTAAGGATCTGTCTTTGTGTCATTTTATTTGGATTGCTTTTATGTGGACTGTATAAGATTCTACTCGGGGATCCATTTTATCATAATCCCGTGGAGGATCTATATAACATCATACAGTTTCCTTTTGTTAAGTAGGCATTGTTTAATTTATACTGGGGTGGCTTTGTAGTCCCGGTTCAACATTCTTTAGTGTATTTTTTAAAATAGCTTTTTCTAACCGTTTTGTACTATACTGTTTACTTTTGTATATGTACTCAGTGTAATAAAACATGAATGTTCTGGTGTATATATTTTGTTCTTTAGATCCTTGAATACTATCTTGCTATTGCCACTACTCTCCCCCGATAGTAACCAAATACATAAACCAGGAAGGAAACTTTATATCCGTACAGGAATAGCGTCAACCGTAAACTCATCAGAGATGGCATGGTATCTAAGTTGAATAAAGTGGTCAACAACTTCACATCTTATTGTCATAATGGATATCGCCATAAACGTAGTTACCAAACGATTCTTTAAGTTTGATCTGTGAGGGACGTCCCTAGACTCTTACGAAAGCTAAGTAACAATATATCTTTAGAAAACTTGTGTAGAGAAAAATATGCAAAATCATACTGCACATTACCCATCATTGGGTTTCATTCGTCCCTAAGTGTCCAAATATGAAGCTTTCAGCAGTGTGATATACTTAATCCAAGTGAGAATTCCAAACTTGATTGACCAAATCAGAACACAGATCCAGATCAAGGAATTTGGGGTCTAAGTGCTTTTGTCCTCTCAGAGCAAATGAAGCAGTGAAACTTCGTCACTCGAGATGGCTGGGACATGTGTTACGTATGCCCAACCACCGACGTGCGATGTTCAATGGTGTAGTAGGTTGGATGAAAGCTAGGTGCGGCCAGACCAAAACATGACACAAATCCATGAAGTCACTGACAAGTGGACTGAGTCATGTTGGTAGGTGTAGACTACCTGGTTGGGATCCGCAAGATGATAGAAACCTTGAGTGCCATGGCTCAAAATCGTTTGCGATGGCGCATCCACTCTTTATGTTCTCTCAATTAATAATCTGAATTCTTCGTGTCCCTTTTCTCTTTCCAAACTTATTTCACCGGATTATACTCCTTGAATAACATCTTCAAATCCTAGTGTTTCCGATTACTGCTTATACTCTTACTACCTATACCACTATGGGATTTGAATCGACAACTGCATCACTATGCTAATGTGGTATAGCAACGTGAACTGATGTACGTACGCACGAAGTTCCACGTTGTCACTGACTGAAGCAAATGAATCTGGTTTACACGACGCGAGCTATTTCTTGGTTTTGCTCGTCATGTCTCAGACGTTGAAAAGCAATTAACACTGGTCGTAAAACCAATGCTAATCAAATCGACTCGGTTCTGATTAGGGCGAGATGGTTCTTGTCATTTCTACAAACTGGACCCAAACTAGATTTCCAGGATTACACTCGACTCTTAAGATTTACTACAGTTAACTCGTCAACCAGCATTCTTAAATACTTGTATTACTAGCGTGTCATGGTATACTACTGTCCCTCACTCGAAATTATTTACACTGAATTCCCCTCTAAGTTTCCTTGGAAGTGTGGCTGCACGGAAATTACCGTTTACTACTTTCCAACCAGTCTTTTTTGCGAGGATAACAGTAAGCGTTCCAGTCAATATGGTTCGATTTGTTTATTATGGCGGTTCTAAGTGTTCGACAGTCTTTAATGATCCCTTTGTAAACGTAATTGCCTTCAATTTTATGAATACTCACCCGCTGCTAAAGGATTAACTGGGAATGGTTTTTGACCTATTACTAGAAATCTACAATAAGCAGGTATTAGTTCAAAGCCTCGGCAAATATTTAGTCTCATTCTATGCTGTCACTTATCACTTTCAGCATACAGTAGAAAAATTCTGAGATAAAAATTATCTACCACACTATCAACAAAAACTTCTACAATTCAAAAGTTTCGTAAATATTACTGCTTTCCAGATAGAAATTTATCCAAGAAATCTTTCGGCTTTTCTGGGAGGTAATCTTCTCTGAAGAAATCCATCACATGCGTATCAGACTTCCACATACGTGCCACTTCAAGTAGTTCATTTTGCCACTAAAAATAACACGATTAGATAAAGTGAAGTTTAACATACTCTGTGAATTAACAAGTCAATTATACGTAAATCTTTAATATCCTTATTTTTGCGGAACTCTTCTCTTAATCTTGCATACAAAACCGGCACTGTAAGATCTACGCTACTATGACCATATTCTTTTGGTATAAAAGGAAGTTGTCTGTACCAGGCACGATATAAACTAATGACCCGCCTTCGAGCTTCTGCATGATTTCTAGACAGAATTGGCCTTGCAGCTTTCACACCAGACATAGTACTATGAAGACAGTACAAAGGTAAAAATCAGTAAAGAATACACAGAAGCTATATATGTAAGTAGCAAAATTTGAGATTAATAATAGCAACGCAAATAACGCTTATAAGATGTAGATGACAAGATTCTCAAATAAATCATAAACAACATAGAGCCTGGCATAAGTTAGTGTTCGCCCAAGCTGATATGCACATCAGTTACGCAAGATAAAGGTAACAAAATGAATAAAAAACGAGTCCATATGATTTAGTAACAATGGTAGAGAAAACGGTTCGAAAGTGAATTGAGCTTAAAGCTTAATGTAAGATGAACAGTGATTAGATCTTCACTACTAACCAGTTGTCAGCTATATCATTCATTACCTTAAGCGATTAAGTATTCATCCGCCAATACAACTTAGTCCAATAATCAATGACTTTATGAACTCAAAACCCGCATGTTTATCTACCCCTGGCCTTTTAACTTATTCCAACAAAGATCGAGTCTAAGTAGGCAGTGGTTGAGTATATCTAATACACGTCCCAACCCTCTCGGTCGATACAGTCCTAACATTATCAACCGATCTTAGAATCCTATACTTAATGACAGTGTTGCCTACTTGATTGTCCCACGATATTCAATCATTGCTTTAAAAACACCGACTTTCTACATTCGCGGACCACATTCAACAACCAAATAGTATATTTATAATCAATTCACTTGTCTTTAAGCTGGTGAACAGCCATCTTGTCACTCCACAAGTGACGCAAGTTGAAGACTAAAGTTCGCCTTCTGAATGTGCATTGAGATATCATCAGACGAACTAACAAGGGCGGAAGAGGCTTAGAAGATAAGTAAAGTTGTTAACGTGTTCCATTGATTCACTACTTACAATCATTCTAGGCGCTTATGTGGACCAATTGTGTCGGGATTGCAAGAAATCAGTATTGCTGTGACTCTGGTATTGTCACAACGCTTGTTGTTGTAATATTTAAAGCGTTATACTGTTATGTAATTTACACATTATTGGTTACTACGGCATGTAAAATACTATAATTACTGCAGTGTTATCTCGCAGTCCTTACTTGAGTACTTATTTATTTATTTGGACACAAATATCGGTTTAAAGGGGCACCAAATACATACGCGCCACATAATAACAATGAGAATGTGAAGAAATAGAGGATGTAGGGTGTGTATGAGAAAAAGGGGGACAATAACAAACAGAAATTAGCGTATGATGGTGAAATAATAATAATGAGAGAAAGATCAGTTAGCAAAGGTATAACCAGAAAAAATTCTTCCACTTAAAGAAGCTACGTACATTTTTTTATGAAGAAAGTAAAACAAAGTTATAGCAGGATCATCATTGGCTTCCATTCTGAGTCATGTCTGATAACGTCTCAAGCCACTGTGTTGCACCATATCTAGGATCCCAAGCAGGGAGTCGTGAAGGATAAATAGAAGCCAGTCCTGTACATCTTCCGTTCATACCGCGACACCATGTCATACAATAATCACCTCTCCGCTTTTTTCAACCAGTCCTAGCGTCGGAAAATAATGCACGACGTAGAATTTTTCGGACGACATTCGTAGAACATGTCCAAGCCACCGAAGTCGATGTTTCAAGATAGTGATACCAATTGAATTATCGTCGTTGTACCCGAATTCAATGCCGAACCTTTGCATTACTAACACGGTGTTCCCACTGGATGTCAGCAATTCTTCAGAGATAACGATGACCAAACACAGAGTTCTCTAACACCAAAAAATAACCTCTGATCTTCTATTCTCAAAACGAAAAATTAAGTGACTTACAGTACACTTTTTAAGATTTTCGATAAGGTTCTTCAGTAGTTAAGTTTTTTGCAACGCGCTTATTGGGGCTTGCTAGAGAATGAGTGCAGCGTAGGACATATATTATAGCCTCACCTAAGGCTATAATTTATAGACGACTTGTAAGCGACGCCAAAGTGACTTGGAGGAAACCCACTCATTAGGGTCAACAGAGTTATAAATTAATGTAAGAAACTAGGGTTGGAGTTAAGGACTAAAAGTCAGGGTTAAGAATCAGTGTTTGGTTTTACATTACGAACTAGTACTAGCACTACAATCTAACCATATAGGCGAATGAATTTCACACCAAAATGCAAAATCTGCTACCTTTAATTTCATTGGTTTATCTACAAGTTATAGCCTCGCCTAGAATGTTATAAAGTCGATTATAAGTTCCAAAAAGTAGATAAACTAAGTAGGAATTCGAAAGTATGATGCCAAATACAACAAGTCAGATGTCATAATTATTGATCTTGAAAAGGTTTCATCCGAACTCAATTACACTTGCAAATCTCCTTCCTAACCATACAGAAGGGGAAACAAAGGAGAACTTGGGGAAATTTTAGATAAAATCCTTGAGAGCTCGAATGGTTCAAATGGTTGTGGACGGAATACAAGAAGCTTTTGCTTAACGTGCTTCTAGAAGTCGGTGTGAATATAAACGACAATGCATTTAAATGCAGCCCTTTCCTTCAGACCGAGATGAATAGTGCGTATTTCCCCAAGAATTCCCCCGTTGAAGGGAAACATCTCGAAACTAACACTTTATCTTCCCTAAACTATCTGCTCGCCAAAACACAGGAACCCACCGAGTTAGAAACTCCCGGTCTACCTAGAGCGCTTCGTGTCCTTGAGGTAGCTAATCAGTCAGTCTTCAGTCTTCAGTAATAAGGATAGTAGGTTAGTGAACCTGTGTTAATCCTAACAGGTTGGCTTCCAGTGAAGGTCCAGTTTCTCTTTGAAAATATTCACTGATGGGGCTGATACCACTTGATCGGGCAAAGCGTTCCAATCATTGACTACTCGATGAGAAAAACGGAACCCCACCTTGAGTTTATTAGATCGTGGTTTGTGAACCTTCTTGCTATGACCTCGGAGATTATTAGTGCTGGAGGGAGCAAAATGATAAGACATATTAACACCCAAATCATAATTAAAGATACGAAATGCCAGTATAAGGTCACCTCGAGTCCTACGATACGACAAGGGGAAAAGGTTTAAGCGTTTTAAACGCTCATCGTAAGGGAGTTTAGAAAGACCCTTCACTAATTTCGTTCCCACACGCTGGACACGCTCAAGTGAGGTAGTATCCTTTATCAGACATGGGCTAGCTGCTTGAATACAGTACTCTAAATGTGGTCTTACATAGGTGGGATATAAAATTCGAAACATTTCCTCGTCAAAGGATTTGAACGCTCGGCGAAGTGACCACAACGCACGAAAACCTTTGACAGCGGCTGCGTTGCAGTGCGCAGTTGTTTTTAAATCATGACTTATTATTACTCCTAAGTCTTTATGTTCTTGAACGCATGGAAGAGGTTTGCCATCAATAGTATAATGGTAATTATTGCCGTGACCGATGTGCATTAGCACACTCTTCCTAGAATTGATTTCTAAACCCCAATCTCGAGCCCATCTAACTAAATCGTCTAAGTCAGATTGAAGATCCAGATGATCAGCCTCACCTCTTATTGCTCTCCATATTTTGACATCATCCGCAAATAATAATGTCGACGACCTAAGCAACAGCGGTAATTCATTTACGTAGAGAAGGAATAGCAGAGGGCCTAATATGGTGCCTTGGGGTACACCACTTTTGACCGGCTTCCAATCGGATAGCGTCCCATTGACCCTCACTCTCTGTCTGCGGTCACGTAAGAAGTTTCCTATCCACTCCTGTACAGTACCTATTATTCCGAAGCTTGTGAGCTTCTGCATAAGACCTGAGTGTGAAACCTTGTCAAATGCTTTGCTAAAATCTATGAATATAACATCGACAGACAGACCTTTATCTAAAGCTGCTGTCCAATCCTCTCTCGCAATAAGTAAATTAGTCAAGCATGAACGCTTATCACGAAATCCATGTTGCTCAGGAGCTAACAGATTGTATGAATCTATGTGGCTTAGCAACCTAACCCGAATTATCTTTTCAAGTAACTTAACGACAATGCTAGTCAGACTGACAGGTCGGTAGTTAGATACGATGTGTCTCTGACCATCCTTAAATATAGGACTGACAATAGCATCTTTCCAATCCCTAGGTAGTTGAGCGAGTGAAAGGGACATGTTAAAGAGTGTCGCGAGCGGTTTTGAAATAATGTCTGCAAGAGATGACAGCAATCGTGGATGTAACCCGTCAGAACCCGGTATCTTACAAGGTTTGAGGTTAATTATCAACGAAAGGACAGTTTCTTCAGTCACCTGTATGGATTCCATGGCTGGTATCGCGGCGTAACTGGGACAAGTATTTGTTACAATAAACGTAGAGTAGACTTCGCTAAAGTAGTTTGAAAATGTCTCAGCTTTTGCTCGATCTGATTCAGCTAGTAAACCTGAATTATCGTGTAACAATAATGGGGGAATACTATCACTACGTTTTATTTGTCGTTTAACATACGAAAACAATCGTTTTGGACAAGTACGGCTATCATAAATGAAGATGCTGCTTTATGACAACCCTCCAGTCTTTACTACTAAAGATGAGCTTGTTCACCTGCGTTAGACGTCAAAGGAGGTATCTGAGCTAAAATTATACTTCTTCAAGGATTTCCTACTAAGTTTTATTGATACCACTTGTCCTAGCGAATGATTGTTGATTCTTGTGTTTTTGGTTGAGGGACTGTTTAATTACAACCTCATTTAGCTCGGTAGTCGTTTTCGAACCTATGTTTAGCCGTATGAAACAGCCAAAGATCGAATGAAATATGTGTTTCAAAAAAGGGCAGTGATTAAGTACACCCGACTGCGATTGACGACAAGGTAAAATCTCCTTTGTAACAATGGAGGAGTGAAGTGCCACCTAACGTCGGTTATTATGCTTCTACAGTAGAACCTGAAGACCCGGATAAAACCGTCACCGTTCGTAATAGTCCTGGTGAGGTTGTCCTGAATGAAGAAAAATGGAAGACAATCAAGTGACAAAGAAGTGAATGAAAAGCAGCTAAAAGTGGCACCCATTCTGTTGACAAGTCATTGTTGAACTCCTACCCTGATTCACAAAACACACCACCGAAGTTCGGAAATAAGAAAGGACTTCACCTCAGACTGGCTGGAAAAACTTAATCTGATGGAATATTATAATGAGTAATTTTCTATAATCAAACGATCCTGATCACAAAATTAGACACTCTCATGGTTTGGAAAAGCTCCGAGAATTTATTCGGATCATCCTACCAGATAACTCTAAAAATGCCCAGGTAAAAAAATTGATCAGAATAAATAAGAGGACCGACGACAGTGTTGAACCCCGACCACATAGAACCCTTAAGGTAATCCTATTGTCGGAGAAACATTGTGATCTGTTAATTAGCACTCACAGTCACGACAGTGTCGATATTCTACTAAGAGCTGATATGTTTCTTGAAGATAGAACAAAAAGGGAAACGGCTTTGATAAGCTTTGATAAGTAAGACTCGCCAGTCATATAAAAAACAAAGTTAGGGATTGTATAAATAGTCCGAAACGGTTATTCTCGTATAAAAAATGCGAACTCAGAGAAATAATAAGATCCCACTGTAAGATCCATTTTGAATGATTTGTGTGTGTGTAAATCCCTCCATGTATATACTTGCAGTTTATTCATATTGATACCTTTGGTTGTACATTTTTACTAGTCTTTTTCATTCCATTTGATTTAATAGCATCTGTATTTTATTATAGTCTTTATTTTTCTTACGCTTTCACTAAGTTTCCGTGTTTCTTTTCGAACTGCATTTATGTTGTTTGACTTGATACCTATTCTTGGCGGCAGCTATATTGGGTTGTTCCTCCCTTTGATTGTGTTGCGTGCATTGACTGGAATTGTGCATTTTTGATTGTGAGTTGAAGCACTCTTCCAGAATTGAAAACACTTGGTGTTATAAAGCAACCAAACATTATCTTTTGAACGAATCTGTGTGTAATCTATCCAGACAGGATAGAATAACATTTATTTGTTGCGATTGGTAATTTTCTAGCATCCTTTTTCAACTTTCTTATTTATTGTAATTTAGATTTGATTAATTGAACTATTGTTGGTTGGATAGCTGGGTGGTTATATTTGTTTAGGTAACGATGTACATTTAAATTTATGATGAATTATAGAACCGTCATTTCACCCGATTACTTTGTTTTGGTTTCAAACGGGCAAGGGCGCGTATCTAACCCACCAAGACAGCTATTCTTCAGTCCAAACCTTAGTTTGGATCTTACAGTTCTAAACAAATATCGATTGGTCGAAGTTGTTTGGCTATCGCTTCGCGGATTTTAATTGCTGTTTCTGGAAATATTTGGTCGTTTCTCTCGTGATGCCGAACACTCGTCAAAGAAAGTCAAGTTCAAAGCTC